GGGGGAGGTGAGTGCCCTGGGGGTTTCTGCTAGAACTCTGACCTGAGGGCCAGGGGAACTTTAGGGCCCGTCCAGGTTCTGCCAGTCAGAGGAGCAGGACCTCAGAGGAATCTACGCTTTTAGGAATCCCAGGTTCCTAAACTGAGAGAGTTGGTCATTAGCTGAACTCCAGACTCTGCAGCTTTCAGGTCCTAAGAGCAGAGGGTCAAGAATGAGAGGGACCTCTCTCTAGATGCTGGGCTGTGACCCTCGTCACACGGTTCCAGTGACCAGACACATCTGTACAAACAGGCCGCAGGCCAAGCCCAGCGAGGGGACTAAAAGTCGAGGGGGCTGGTTATCACGAGTGTGCACTGGCTCCGAAAGCCTGGCATGAAGTGTTGCGGGGGGGGGGGGGGGGGGGGGCAGGCCCAGGGACAAGACTAAGAACCCGTAGGGCTTCAGTCACCCCTGACTTAGACTGATGTGCAGTCGGAGCTGTGGTCCCGCCCACATGGCATCTTCCTCTTCACTTGAAGCCTCCCCACGGGAAGTTCACCATTCTTGTCAGTAATCCACTGTCAGGTCAGTGTGGCTAACAGCAGAGTGAACTTGAGAAAACACAGTCATTTCAGCCTATTGGAATTCTGAATGGAGGAATAAAGTAGAAAAACAGTTTCCATTGTCTGTTGGCCAAGCCTGGAAGGCAGCATCTCAGATAGCTCTGAGAGGTGCTCCTACGCGGCAGTGGGGGAAAGTCAATATATAAGATTTTGGTGAAGGGGGAGTTCAATGCCACGAAACACTCATTTTTCTTTTTCTTTTTTTTCATTTATTTTTATTAGTTGGAGGCTAATTACTTTACAATATTGTAGTGGGTTTTGTCATACATTGACATGAATCAGCCATGGATTTACATGTATTCCCCATCCCGATCCCCCCTCCCACCTCCCTCTCTACCCGATCTCTCTGGGTCTTCCCAGTGCACCAGCCCCGAGCACTTGTCTCATGCATCCCACCTGGGCTGGTGATCTGTTTCACTATAGATAATAAACATGTTTCGATGCTGTTCTCTCGAAACATCCCACCCTCGCCTTCTCCCACAGAGTCCAAAAGTCTGTTCTGTACATCTGTGTCTCTTTTTCTGTTCTGCATATAGGATAATCATTACCATTTTTCTAAATCCCATATATATGAAACACTCATTCTTCAAAAGGTTTTTGTTAGTCATGAGGATCTGATGTCACCATGAAGGGATTTAGTGCTTCTCTAGATATGAGGCCTTGCCCTGTGGCTCAGCTGGTAAAGAATCCGCCTGCAATGCAGGAGAACAGGGTTCGATCCCTGGGTCGGGAAGATCCCCTGGAGAAGGGAAAGGCTAACCACGCCAGTATTATGGCCTGGAGAATTCCATGGACTGTACAGTCCAAGGGGTTGCAAAGAGTTGGTCACGACTGAGCGACTTTCACTTTCACTTAGATATGAGGAGATGCAAGGATTGCAATCATAAAATCTGTTCCTAAAAGCATCTAACTATCTAAAGACCTGTCCCACCAGACTCCCTGGAGCACAGAGGGCCTCACTTTACCTTGAACTCTCTCAGGGACTGCTGAAGGTCGACAGCCACAGCAGCATGGGGTTCAGTCTCCATAGAGGCGGAGGGCAAATGCCTCCGCTGTTCAGTTGTTGGCAGTGCTCTTGGTAAGTGCCAATTGTAGTTGACATGGCCCCCGTGTGGTCACAAATCCGACTGTACTTTGGGGAGCATTTCATGACATTTTGTCCCACATTCCTGGGAAGGCTTGTTCTCAGTTCTTGATTAATGTCTCTACCAGGATGAGAAGGTAGGACGGGAAGGCTCAGAGAAGGGAGATGAATGAAGCTGTGGGGCTGGATGGTTAGGGAGGGGCTATAGTCCAGCCGCCACCTCCTCTGCTAATCCCTCTTACCCCCAAGGGCCCTTTGTGATGGGACCACAGGTCTATGATGCAAGCCTAGTACTTTAGTCCCCAGGTGCACACCCTGGCTCAGTTGCCTGAGGGCAGTGGTGATTCAGATGATGGAGAATCTGCCCTTTTCTCTGGAAAGCACTTCTGATACTTGGCTGAACTCCAGCTCCCCTTTCTGTGTGATCGATACCATCCTCGCCTTTCTGTGTGGACTGGGGCTCTTTTTCCTGATCCTTCCCTACCTGGAGAAAAACCCATCCTTTCCTTCCCCTAGGAAACACGGAAACATCAGGAAGGTAAGGAACTCTTGGTCCACACTGACAAGCATATAAAATCTTTTTTATTATGATTTCTACTTTTCTGAATCAACCAGAGATTCTTGATGTGGGAAAGACCAGGACATCTATTTTCAAGGAAGAACAGAACATCATGCCTCTAGGAACAAACCAGGCTGGGCAAGAGATAGAGTGAACACTAGGATTTCTACCCAAAGATCTGAGATCAGGTGTCCAGGTGTGGTAGGGGATCCAGGGCATGTCCCAAACACAGTGACCAGGGGTTGAGGACTGGATACTGAGTTCAGTCTCAGGCCGAGGACAGGACTCTGAGCCCTAGTTCAGCAGCTGTGAACAGTGTCTCAGGGCTGATGATCTGGCAGCCCTGAAGCCCCAAGAGCCTCAGGGCAGGGGCTGGGGGGCGGGCTGGTATCAGGAAGCTGAGATCAACCTGATGAAGCTCAGATTCACCCACAATCTGAGAATGTGTGTGTTTCTTGAGCAGAGGAACAGTGACAGAAGTACAGCGTGCATTTCACATTGAAAATCATCTTTCGTTCTTCAAAGAAGGAAAACAGAAAGTATTTTATCCACTTTAAAAATGAGTGAAAGGAAAGAAAAATCACAGAGCTGTCAGTGAAAAGTAGAAAGTCATATTATTAAGTCATATTAAGTCATACATATCCATATGTATGGATACTAGTGCCTGATGCTTGTCTAGAGAGGAGACTGAGATTTGGGTCTTAAGCCCTCATTTTTTCTCTCTCTCAGCATCCAATGGTCTCACATGGAGACCCAGGCCCAATCCCTACCCTTAACTCCAATCATGCCCCAATGTCAACCATCATCTGAAGTTTCTGTGAAGACCCAGTCCAGCTCCCAAATCGTGGCTTCAACCATGCCTCACTCTCAACCACCAACTCGAGCTCACATGGAGACCCAGGCCCGATGCCAACTCTTGGTTCCAACCATGCCTCACTTTCAGCCACCACCTCTGACTCACATAGAGACCCAGGCCCGCCCCCCACCATGTACTCCAATCATGCCCCAATTTCAACCACCACCTCGAGCTCACATGGAGACCCAGGTCTGAGCCCAACTCTTGGCTCAAACCGTGCCTTGTTTTCAACTACCGCTTCAGGCTCACATGAAGACACAGGTTCCACCCCTACTCCAGACTCCATCCATGTCCCAGTGTCAACCACCACAACCTCAAGCCCACATGGAGACCCGGGTCCAACACCTACGCTGGACTCCAAACATGCCCCAGTCTCAAACACCTGCTCAGGCTCACATGGAGACCCAGGCCCGACCTCTACCTTGAGGAGGCAGAGGTCAGGCAACCAAGCCTCAGTGTCCTCCATCATCTGAGATCTCCATGGAGGTCCAGGACCACCAACAACCCTCAGCTCCAACCATGCCCGTTTCAGCCACCTCCTTGGGCTCACGTGGAGATTCAGGCTCAGCTGACACCCTTGACTCTAAACATGCCTCCCTGTCAGCCATCCCTCAGGCTCATATGGAGATCCAGCCCGACCTCAGTCCTTGGCTCCAACCATACCCCAATACCATCCACAACCTCAGGCTCAGTTAGAAACCACTGGCCATCTGTCACCCTCCCTGCTAGTCCAGTCATCATCTTCTCAACGCCAGATTGGGTCCTTTGAAACGTCTTGCCATACAGTCCAAAATAAGGCATCATCTTTCAGTTCAAATGCAATTGAAAACCCAGAATGTCACTTTTGGAAAAAAAAAAACTAGAAAGCGGGAGAACCTTACCCTCTTTGGTTAAAAATTCTCGGCAAGTCTTTAGCCAGGTCACTCCCAACCCACCCCAGGAGACCAAGTCTTCCCAGGCCCACAGCTCTGTCCCCATCCTTCCTGGGTATTTGATCAGCCCTGAGGTTCGGGAGAAACTGGAGCGCCACATTTCCCAAAGGTTCATGCAGCAACAGAGTGGCCTGCCCTGCAGAATCCAAGCATCTCAGAAACTGATGCAGCCTCAGGATCAATACCCGATCCTTTGCAGGTCGAGGCAAAAGGAGCCAGGATGCACAAATGATGAGGGCCAAGTGCCCAGCATGAATCCTACCAGGGACAGACCTGTGCCATGACGTAAGGCAGAGTGTGGGGAAGATCGTAAAAGATCGGTACATGTTCTCAGCCAACCCTCCAGTGAAGGATCCAAGAGCAAAACCTGAGTCAGAAATAGAGTTGAGCCCAGACAGGAAGCAACCAGAAGTCTCAGGAGTCCTTACAGAGAGGAAGGCAGAGCAGATCTGTGAGAGTGAGATCCCTGTGAATGTCTTATCAGTCAAGGCTTGTGGACAACCTTGTTTTAGGCATTCTGGGAGAGACAAATGCTCCCATGAAGACAGAAAGTACACAGTCCTCTCAGGATGGGAAAGCCTCCATGATCACCTCCCATGAATCTCTTGTCCTTAGTCCATATACTGAGCAGGAGCTGGAAGCACATCTAATAAGGTTTTGGGTGAGGCACAGGTGGAGCCTACTCTTCAACGTCCTGAAGTTCATATTTCGCTTGAAGTTGAAAAAGGTTCAAGTGCCCACATTGAAGGCCACCTGTGAATCTGGAGACCACTCAACTGCCCTATTAACCAAGGGCATAGGAAAACCTCCTCAGCCCCATGCAGGAGAGAAACTGGTAAGGATGGAGGCCGTTCCCCCGCAGGAGACGCCCCTCCCTGTCCCCTCACAGGCGATTGAGGAAGCCGGGGGGCACTGGGAGAACGCGCACCTGGGGACACCCATGAGCCCTCAGAGGCCCCTCTGACGGGACAGGAAGACAAGCCACCTCCTCAGGCCCCCACACACAGCTTTGTGGGCAGAATGTGGCACAGCGAGTCTGTTGTGGAGGCTGAGAAAGGCAGCCTGGAGCCCAGGCCAAGTTCAGCCATGGCCAGGAATGAGCCACAGAAGGAAACTAGGGGACAGGCCTCCCCAGCATCTTGCTCTAATGTGATGGTTGTGGACCTTGATGAATGCTCCCCATCTTCCAGGGCCCAAGAGGTCGTGGAGAGAGACTGCTGGGAAGGGCACCAGGAAACCTAATGTGCAGGTCAAATACCTAGACATCAATATAGATCTCGGGAGATCACGGTCTCCAAGGTCCAGTGAAAGCCCCTCACTGAACACCAAATCTGCTGCCTCAAATACAGAAGATCTACTCTTTGACACACAGTCTCGTAAGCTTGAGTCTCAAGGGTTCACTGACCAGCAGGCTCAGGCTCAAGGCCGAGCTACCAGCGTGCTCCTTCAAGACTGTGCCACTGACACGCTTCTCAAAGACTGTCACTCGAATATGCTTCTTGCCGCAAATATCTTGGCTTCTCAGGAATCTCTGTCCTATTTGCAGATCTTATCCAGTGGAGACAAGTGCAATTCCCAAAAACTCTATGATGATACCTCAAGTGAAGGGAGCAGCCAGGGACAGCAGGTGGACATGAGGCGACAGCTCAATTATAAGAGCCGGGGCAAGAAGTCTGTCCCCAAGGATGGGAGAGAGAAATATACAAGGCCCAAATTAAGACAGATTAAAAAAGGGCCAGCAGAACGGAGGGCTTACCAAGCCCAAGGGATGAGTCATCCTGGCCAGAAAAAAGAATCAACGGAGTCCCTGAGAAGCAAGTTTCGGCAGTTAGTCCTAAAGAAGAGACAGGTTCCATCAGAAAGCCACTTCAAAGAAAGGCTTAAGCTCCTTCTGCCGTGGATTTTCCCCAGTAAAGGCAGAGAACCAGAAGAGCCCTGCAAAAAGGCAGGCCTGAAACAGCCACTGTCCAGAGCCAAGAATCAATCAAGAGCAAATCGACCACGGACAGCAGGGCTGTTTGAGGCTCAGACTCTCATGACAGCTGTTGGGCAGATCCTAAAGGAGAGGATGGTGTTTCACCAGGGCCCTCACGCCACGGAGTTAAACTGGTTCCAGGCAGAATTCCAGGACCCCCGAGGTCCACATTACTGCCACCACAGAATCCTGTCTTACCAAGAGGAAAGGAGAATGAGGAGACACACACCCCGTTATCACCAAGCCACCCCAACGGGCCACAGCTTTTCAAAAAAGAGTAAATGAACCAGTCCCAGGGACAGCAAGTGGGCCTTCTCACCCAGGGAGCCAGGTTGCTCTCCAGGCAGAGCCTGGCAGCATGGCTCGCGAGTGGCATGGGCCCCAGGCCATTCCCTCCACTGTCCAAGGCACGTCTCCCTCAGAAACGCACCTCTTCTGGTGAATCCGAGCATGCTTTTCACAGCATTCCGGGTAGGAAAACTCTCCTCCAAGAAAAAAATGCATGCCATGTTAGCACATCCTCTGTGTGCTAAAGGCTTCTTCCTACCAGAAATTTTGTTTCATGAAATAAATGATTTTTTTCTCATAAGAGGCCTGTCGGTGCCTCACTGAGGGAGATGGAAGGCATCGGGGTCCACGCTTCCCAGGTGCCTGCTTTGACTTCCAGATGGGAAGGGGCCGTGGAGGGAGGGTGACCCCAGCATGGATACTCACCCTCACCCCAGTTCCCTAACTGCGCCTTCAGTCTCCACAATACCAGCATTACAGAAACAAGCAACAGCATTTAGGACATGTCACAGTGACCTAAACCTGAAGACCTCCCCCTTCTCAGGATCTTGCTCAGTTCTATCCTACTCTGTCTCCACCTGGACGTTGTGCAGCTGGTAGGGGAGGTGTGTTCAGAAGCTGAAACTCCCCTCAGGCTCAGGAGGTGTCAGGGACAAACTCACATGTCAGAATAAGGAGGGGAGTCCAGAGGTGGGACAAGCCTCACCCCCGAGTCACAGCGGGGTAGATGCTGCTGCCCTGAAAGCCCCTTTCTCTCCGAGATGTGGCTGGGACAAGATAGGCGAGGTTTGTCAGCCTCCCTCTGCCATTCTCCTGCTCTGAAGCAGCAGCAAGAACGAGGACCACACACTCCCAGCTCTGAGAGTGTGCAGTGCGGAGCATGCAAGCCTCTGAGGGCTGGTCCCACCTGGCCCTGGAGGAGAGGACAGCGATGCTTACAGCGCCCACCTCCCCCAGTGAATGAGCATGGTCGTGACTGTGTGGAGGCCCCTCACGGTCTGAGAGCTGGACGCAGCGCCCCTGGGATGGGATGCAGAGGAAGGATGTTAGTGGCAGGGGAGCCCATAGACGGGGCAGTTACCAAGGAGCAGCGGTCTCCCACCACCATCCACAGGCCCAGAGGAGAGAAGTGAGGGGCCCGGTGGCTCCTGCTGGCCTCACTCCAGAGTCTCCCCTCTACTCGAGTTCCCTGGGCCCGGACAGAGGGAGGCCACCTGGAGCCCCTCAGCAGAGGGCCAAGCTCCCAGCGGCAGCAGACGCTCAAGCAGAGAAGCGTCACTCCTGCCCTCTGGAGCAATCAGCTCTCACAGGACTGGGTACTCAGGACAGACTCACTGTCCGTGACCTCTACCTACATGTGTGGCCCAAGGAGGCTCCCAGGGCGCAGGCAGGACTCAGCAGGCCCAGGGACTGTTCAGGAGTCACAGCAGGTCTCACCTGCGCTCAGTCTTACTCCCTCCAGAGGCCGAGGTGAAGACACCAGCGGCCAGGACGCGTCACCCGGCGCGCGGCCGGGACGCCTCAGCCAGCGCGCGGCCGGGACGCGTCTTCCAGCNCAGGAGCTGGAAGCTCATATAATAAAGTTTCAGGTGAGGCACAGGTGGGTCCTTCTCCTCAGGTTCATATATAGTTTGAAGTTGAAAACTTCTCATCACCTACACCTTCCAAAATCCACCTTGAAGACCACCAGTGATTCTGGGGACCACCCAAAGCCAAGTTAACAGAGGGCTCATCCCCAACCAGGAGAGAAAATGATAGCAATGCAGGCAGTGCCCACCCTGGAGAGGCCTTGCCCTGCCCCCTACCATGTGACTGAGGGAACCCGGGGGGCTCTGCGAGGAACCTCAACTGGCAACGCCCAGAAGCCCTCAGAGGCCCCTCTGACTGGACAGGAAGACAAGCCGCCTTCTCAGGCCCCCACATACAGCTTTGTGGGCAGAATGTGGCACAGCGAGTCTGCTGTGGAGGCTGAGAAAGGCAGCCTGGAGCCCAGTCCACATCCAGCAATGGCCAGGAATGAGCCACAGAAGGAATCTGGAGGACAGGCCTCTCCAGAAACGTGTTCTAGTGAGACAGTCATGGGCCCTGATGAATGTTCCCGATCTTCCAGAGGACAAGAGGTGATGGACAGAGACACTACTTGGAAAGGTACTTTTGAACCTAGTCTACTAATCAAATCCCAAATAATTAATATAGATACGAGGAGATCATGGTCTCCAAGGTCCCATAAAAATCCCTCCTCGAACACAGTCTGTTGCCACAAATCCAGAAGATGTAGACTTTGATGAATGGTCTCATAAGCTTAAGTTCCAAGGGTTCTTAGACTGGCAGAAACAGGCTAAGGCCAGGCCACTTGCCTGCTCCTTCAAGACTGTGCCACTGAGAGGCTTCTCAAAGACTGTCACTCAGATATATTCATTGCCACAAACACCTTGGCTTCTCAGGAATCTCTGTGCTGTTCTGAGACCTTGTCCAGTGGAGACACGTCCAATTCCCGCACGTGTGATGTTACATTGAGTGGAGGGAGCAGCCAGGGACGGCCGGAGGCCCTGAGAGGGCGGCCCCAACGTAAGAGTCAGCGCAGGGAGTTCATCCCCACTGAGGCGAGAGGCTAATGGGAGGCCCCGGCTAGGACAGCATAGAAAGGGTGGTGGCACGGAGAGCCCTCCAGGCCCGCAGGATGAGCCACCCTGCCCAGAAAAAGGGACCAGCAGGGTCCCTACAGAACAGTTTATCCTGAAGAGGGGGCAGGTTTCTTCAGAAAACCACTTCAGAGAGAGGATTAAGCACTTTCTGCAGCGGATGTGCCCCTGAAGGCAAAAGACTGGAACAAGCCCTGCAAAAAGCCAGCCTGCAGCGGACTCTGCCCAGAGCCAGGGAACTGTCGAAAGAAGTCTGATTACAGACAGCAAGGCTGTTGAGGCCCAGGCTGTCATGACAGCTGCTGGACAGATCTTAGAGGAGAAGATGGCGCTTCACCGTGGTCCTCGTCTTCGGAGTGTCACTGGTACAAAGCAGAGCTGCAGGCCCCGTTAGGTCCAGGCCCCCACAGGGAGCCACAGCTGTCCTGCAAAGAGGAAGTGGCCCAGTCCCAGGAACAGCACGTGGACCTTCCCACCCAGGGAGCCAGGTCCCCGTCCGGGCAGAGCCTGCCAGCACAGACCAAGGATGACGAGTGTCCCAGGCCGTCCCCTCCGCAGCCCAAGGCACTGTCTTCTTCACAAATACACCTCTGCTGGTCAATTGGAACATCCTTGTCCCAGCATTCCTGGTTGAAAAAGTCTTCTCCAAGAAAAAATGCATACCGTGCATAAGAAACTTTTTCCTCTCATGTTCACATATCCTCTGTGTGTTAAAAGCTTCTTCCCACCAAAAAATTTATTGCTTTCTGAAATAAATGTTTTTTCTGCTGAGAAATGGTGCTCTGTCTGTGCCCTGCTCAGGGGAAGGAAACGGATCAGGGGCCACTCTTCCCAGGCGCGTGCTTTGACTTCCATATGGCACAGGGTCGTGGAGGGAAAGTGAACCCCAGCATGGATACTCACCCACACTCAATTCCCTCCTGCACCTCAGCGTCCATCACACCAGCATTACAGGAACAGGCCACAGCATCAGGACATGTCTCGGGGAACTAAACCTGAAGACCTCCCTCTTCTCAGGATGCAGCTCTGTACCGCACCCCCAATCTCTACCTTGAACTTGTGAGGCTGCAGGGAAGGAGTTTGCAGAAGCTGAAACTCCCCCCAGACTCAGAAGCTGTCAGAGACTATTCACATGTCAGGATAAGGAGGGGAGTCTGGGGCAGTGCTGGCCGAGTCCAGGGTGGGAGAAACCTCGTCCCCGTGTCACGGTGGGATTAGATGATGCTGTCCTGGAAGCCCCTCCTCTTCCAGATGGAGCTGTAATGAGATGGGCCAGGCCTGTCACCCTTCCTCTGTTTTTCTCCTGCTCTGGAGCAGGGGTGAGAACGGGGACCACACACTCTCAGCTCTGAGGGTTGTGGTGTGGAGCATGGAGGCCCCGGAGGGCTGGTCCACCCCTGCCCTGGAGAAGAGGACAGCTCATAGTCCCCGCCTCTGCCAGGGGATGGGCAGGGGCATGTCTTTGTGAGCAGTCCCCTCACTGTCTGAGGTGGGACACTGCACCCCCAGTGTCAGATGCGGGGAAAGGAGGCAGGGGGCAGAGGTGCCCACAGATGGTGCAGTGACCCAGGAGCCCCTGGCATCCCACCAGCACCTGCAGGCCCAGAGGAAAAACGTGAGGGGCCGTTGGCTCCTGGGGTCCCGCCCCAGAGCCCCCTCTACTCCAGCTCCCAGAGCCCAGACAGAGGGAGGCCTCCTGGACCCCCTGACAGAGGGCCAGGCCCTCAGAAGCAGCAGAGCCTCCAAGCAGGCAATCTCCACCTCTCCAGAGTGCAGTTAATCGGCTTTCACAGGACTGGGAGCTTGGGACAGACTCGTGGTCCGGGACATCTACCTATGCATGCATGTGGCCCAAGGAGGCTCCCAGAGGACAGGCGGGACTCAACAGGCCCAGGGCTCTGCTACAGTCATAGCAAGTCTCAGCTGTCATCAGCTTGCTCAGCCCGGAGCCCAGACAGGGAGGGAGCCAGCAGCAGGATGTGTCACCCAGTGAGCGGGAAGTGACCTGTGGAGAAGGGTGCAGTCAGCTTTCTTCCCCAGGACCCATCTACACAGGAAAGGGTCAGTCACTCAGGCATGTCCAACTCTTTGAGACCCCCATGGACTGTAGCCTTCAGGCTCCTCTGTCCGTGTAATTTTCCAGACAAGAATACTGCAGTGGGCAGCCACTCCCTTCTCCAAGGGATCTTCCCGACCCAGGTATCGAATCAGGTCTCCTGAATTGCAGGCAGATTCTTTACCACCCGAGCCCCAGGGAAGCCCTGGAAAGCAGGGAGACGAGCAACTCTCTAGAGCGATTCGGGGCTCTGTGTCAGTCACCAATGGGTGGAGGGACCAGCTCCAGGACGGCCCTGATCCGCTGACAGCTGGAGTGGGCCTGCCCCACGCCCGGTAGGACCCCCACACCCGGGACCAGCTCCAGGACGGCCCTGATCCACTGACAGCTGGAGTGGGCCTGCCCCACGCCCGGTAGGACCCCCACACCCGGGACCAGCTCCAGGACGGCCCTGATCCGCTGACAGCTGGAGTGGGCCGGCCCCACGCCCGTTAGGACCCCCACACCCGGGACCAGCTCCAGGTCTGCGTGGCGGCGTGCAGGCCTGCTCTGCTGAGGTCTCTACCTGGGGTCAGGTCTTGCCTCTGGGCCGCATCCCTCAGGGTGGGCACAGCAGTGGGGGGCAGACAGGGTCTCAGGGAGCAGCTGGGACTCGGGGCACAGAGTGGCCTCCAGAGCTCAGGGGAGAGGCAGGCCCAACAGAGACTCTGAGCCTGGGGCTGCCTGGTCCTCCCAGAGGCATCGAGGGGGGAGTGCTGGGGGCGGGGGGCGCTGACCCAGAACACACCTGTGCGGAGAAGTGACCCAGAGGGACACCAGCGGAACAGCAGGAAACCAGAAGGGAAAGTCCTGTGCCTTCTCCAGTAAGGGGCAGAACAGCCACCAACGGAGGTCCCCTCACCCAGAGTCCCCACTGAGACCCGCACCGACCCCCGCGGGGACCTCCTGCACTGACCCCGCACGGGGACCTCCCGCACGCCCACTCCGAGAGATCTCACCCAGAGACCGCTCAGCGCATCCCACAGAGACCTGTCCTGAGACCTCCCCCACACTCACCTCGCAGGTGATCCTTAGGATCTGGGTACCCACCCACTGACCCGTCCCTCGTGGGGTCTGAGGTCAGGTCACAAACAGGAGGCACAGGGGAAGGACCAGGGACGCTGCCCGGCCCCAGCCCCGCTCCCAAAGCGCCAGACATCCTGACACCTCGGCATCGCCCTAAGTGGGCACCATGTAGGACGGAGTGTCAGACATCCAGACACCTCGGCATCGCCCTAAGTGGGCACCATTTAGGACGGAGCACCAGACATCCAGACACCCTCGGCATTGCCCTAAGTGGGCACCATTTAGGACGGAGCTCCAGACATCCGGACACCCTCGGCACTGCCCTAAGTGGGCACCATTTAGGACGGAGCACCAGACATCCAGACACCCTCAGCACTA